AAAATTGGATGAACCGGGCTATCGAATCCCGGAGGCCCCGAGCCTATTAGGCATCGCCCAAACATGAAAGGATACGGCCAAACTAAAATGGCTCAGAGACGTCCATGTTTATACTCAAAAAGTAAGGCCCTTACATATGATTAAAACCTATTAAAGGGTTACCCTCGGCAAAACACCATCGTGTATGAGTAAAACACTCAAGTATCTTAAAGGACTTCATTTTTTATCAAAAATGTGAAGCCACGAACAATTCAGAGTACCATCGAAACCGGGCCTCATTCGGGCTTCCGGAGAACGGATTCTCGAGATCACGTCTAATTCTATTCTAGGCATTAAGGACGATCCACAAATGAAAAATTGCAAATAGATGTTGAAAAGTAAAAGACACAGTGTTGCCGAAGGAAATTCATATATATATTTCAAAAAGTATTTAGAAAGGCACGATAAAACGGCCTCAAAATAAACAAAAAAAAGAAGAAAATATATAAAAGGAAACAAAAAGAGCTAAGGCATCTCCGTCCAATCTTCACCGGAGCTCGACTCGGCACCGGAACCTTCGGGACCTTCGGGATCATAAAGTTCTTTTGTCTCGGCCTCAAGCCTCTTGGCCTACGGCCGATAGATCAAATCCCCGAGAGTGAATCTCCTCGAGGGTCTCCCTCCTGGACAACCGCTTTTCTTACTCAGCCTTCGTTATTAAACGGGCCTCGGCTATCTCCACATCAGTTTGATACTGGGCCAACATTTCTTCGACCACGGAGGAATCAATCGAGGTTGCCTCTAACTTGGACTTCAGCGTAGTATATTCTCGGTCGAGGTCTTCCTTACCTTCTCGACCAGTTCGGCATGCTCCCATTTCGCAGACAAAGCCTCCTTTTGAGTTTTATCTAGCTCCTTTCGAAGAATAGGGAGATCCTTTAGGGCCTCGTCTTTTTGCTCGTTGAGGACCCTGTACATGTCCTTTTGCCGAACTTGCTCCTTGAGCTCGAACTCGTAATGGCTTAATTCCATCCGAGACCGACAAGCTTTCATGATGGAGCACCAAAGCCTGAAAAATAAAATGATAAGATCATGAGGACGTACTAAAGTTAAATAAGATGCAAGAAGGGCACAAGGAAGGGGAAACTTACCCGATTCAGTGCCTATTGTGCTTCATTGAAGAGGCTCGAAGTGCTCACTTCGTTCATCTTCGCCTGGTCCTCTTCAGTCACCAGGCAGCGAATGTAGCTGGCCACGCCCACTGGAGTGGACAACACCCGAGTGTTCACCGGGATAATAAACACAATCGTTCTTTTACAGTCGGGATCCACGCTCGGAGCAGGGAACTGCCTCACCAACTTCGGGATCGAGCTCGGCTTGCCTGCCCCCGACAACAGGTCCTTTTTCGGGATCTCTAGGTGACCAAACCCGGAATAATCCTCCAACGCACCATGTCCATTCCGTAAAAGAACATGTTGAGGGCCTTGTCTACGCCCCGTGCCGTCTCATTTGACTTCTCCTTGTCATCCCGAGCCTCGTCAAACATGGACTCTGTATGAGATGGTGACTCCGTGATGTCAATGACACTGGCTATTTCCTTCGAGGTAGGGATAGTTTCTCGGGAGGCCATAGCCTCTGATTTTCCTTCTAGCTCCCGAGCTAAAGAGGGATCGGCCTCTCGGCCATCTTCCCCGATTGCCGCTTGTTCTTCTTCGTCAATGGTCGACCCATGAGCGACGAACTCTAGTTCATCGTCTTCAGGGTAATCCCTGAGATGGTAGAGGGAGTCGGGGTCCGATACCACCGCTTGGGTACTCTTCTTGTTGCTTTTTCGGATCCTTACAATTACTCTCTTCTTCTTGGCCTCGACGTCCGGAGAGCCAGAAGATTTCCTCTTTTTCTCCTCTTGTGCAGCAGCTCCAGACTGTCCCGAAGCGGAGGGTTTAGCAAGTGAGGACGGAGTCTCGTCCTCATCCAATGGCGGTAGCTCAGTGGTCTTGGTCGAACCTGTAAAAGATAAGGAACTTGGTAGAAATAAAGGTTGAGTGTGAAAGTAGACTCGTTCGGGAGGAGCACTCACCATGGAACGGGCCTCCCCCTTGCCATTTGAAACTTTGCGCCATTCGCACTCAAAATACGACATTTGTTTGTAGATCCCCTTGATCCACTCTTTGAAGCGAGGGTTTGTGATAGGAACTTGGGCGACCGCTACACGATGATAGGAACAAGTAATTAGAAAAAGAACAAAAAAAATTCCTAGTACTTAGGAAGGAAAGAAACTTACGGGCTGAGTTCCACTTCGCAGGAAACAGTAAAAATTCTGGGGGAATGAGATCTTTGGTTTTCACCCGAACAAATCTCCCCTGCCAACCTCGATCTCGATCTTCATCGATGCTCGAGTATGGAGCTTTTCTTGCTCGACGAACGAGCTTGATCAACCCCCCTTAGAAAACTCGGGGACTATAGAGACGAAGCAGGTGGTTGATGGTAAATCGAGGTGCTTCGGTGTTGTTGACAAAATGGCGGAGGAGGATTACGATCTTCTAAAAGAACGGGTGAATCTACCTAAGGCAGACCCCGTATCTTTTGCAAAAACTGAGGATTATAGGGTCTATTGTGGCAAGCGTGAAGGGTAAGTGTAAACACTTAGACACCTCTCCACGTGAGTGGTAATATCCTCACCAGGACCGGGGACGACCACTTCCATTCCCTGCCAGATGCAGTCCCCCCAAACTGGAGGGAGTGTATCCTCGATAACGGAGCATATGTGTTTCCATACCCTCTTACCTCGGTCCTCTTGATTGGAGGTTTTTTCGACATTGTAGTCCTTCTCAATGGAGCAGCCCCTGGGGACAGGGGAGGTTCCAGGGCCACCTCAGGCACGGCCACCTCGGCATCCGTGGCTGAGTTGGAAGTTGAAGGGATGGTCTGTTGAGACACATATTTGGAAGTCTTGGCCATCAGATCTTAGAAAATATGAAGATTTGAAGATAAGGATAAAGGTATGAAGGTCAGATTTGAAGATTTGAAGGAGGGGTATGAAGATTTGAAGATGAAAATATGAAGATCTAGAAAACAATGTATGAAGGTTTGAAGGGGCTAAATATAAGTGAAGAGCTTGAGGGTAAATTAAGGAGCTGTGGAATCGGAAAGTAAAAAAAGTGAAAAAAGGACAGGAGCTTTTATAGAGAAGGGGTAATCAATGTGTGACGTTTTGCATTCGGGGACGGTCAACCGGCGGCTAACACTTGTTCGAAGTCAGAACAACGCGACTGATGGGATGTTTTACTGACACGTCAACTCGGTTGTAGCGTACAGAAGAAGGAACTGGGGTTAATTTATCGCTTCCCGCCGCTTCGATAAATCTACTCTTTGAGGAATGAGGGGACCATCTGTGTACGGATAAAATTGGGGGCAGAGTTTTCCCTGATTTCCGATGGGGAAACAAAAGGAAGCACGGCTCGACATGATTATAATCAAGGCAAGGACCCCTCCTATCAAAACCCGGGAGAAATAAAATATGCATCTGGGATCGGGCATGGTGAAATAACGAACCCAAAGCAAGTATAGTTTTTGGACTTTGGAAACGCGGAGAACTGTTATGCATGACGAGTAGGAGGCTATAATATTCGCCCTCAACCGGATATTATGGCGCGAATCCCGTCCGATATCAACTGAGAATTGACATTTACCAAAAAAAGAAGATTTTTACCTTATTTATACTTGTACTCTAACTGAAATTCCCCTACTACATAAAGGAGAAGGTTTCTTTTATTTTGACACATTGTGACATGTAAATCAAAGCAATAAAAGTTTACTTTTGTCTTCTAGCTATTGTTCAAAGTGTTCTTAGTTTGTTCTCTTCTTTATTTGCGACCGAGGTTGTATCGAGGGTCCGATCGAGGACCGATTCCACTGTTCAACCTAAGATCAGACTTGATCATCACATTGCGATTAGTTTGATCGTTTATTTTATCTTTAACTTATTTACCTTTTAATCATTCGTATTGAATTAAATCACATATCCTTTAAACCGCGTACAACTCGATTTTTAGGGTAACTATGATCAAATAAAACTGACAATACCCTCGTATAAGATGGAATATTCAAAGCACATTTTGCCAGTGGTAACTCAACTATATATTAGGAATTTTTTTTGAAAAAATATGTATGGAGATGAGAATACCCTCGTACGTCTTCTGTTCCCATTCCGATCTCCCTCTCGTCATTTATCTTTTCATTATATTTGACAGCATTAACGAAGATAGAAAGATTTTTGATGAATAACAAAAGAATATGTGACATATAAGAAGTAGGATCAAATGTGCAATTATTATTAATGGTCTTCGGTCTTTTTATGTACATAGCATGATAATTCCAATAATAATATGCCATTAAGGACATAACATATAGAAATGTGCCTAGAGTTTTGAAAAATTAAAGAGTTATGTGAAATAAATCGGAAAAGTACTGTTTATTGTTGTTAACATTTCTAATGTCGTTGTCATCCAGTTTTCGGATATATTCTATTTGAAATGGTATTAATTGGTAGTTAAGTTATTGTAACGATAGTAACCCCTATCAACTACAAGTTACAAATTGTATAAATCTTGAGTTATGATTTGACCTTGCTTGAGTTATCCCATTTCAACAGATGTTCCTCCCCTAGATTCTTGTGCCTTTTACTATAGTTTTATTTAAAAAAGAAGAAGAAGAGAAGTTCAATAAATTATTATTATTTGGATGCTGGCGATCTTACCCAATACTCAAATCGGGGGTAATTAAACACAAAACAATAATAGTAATTGATTGGAGTATTATAATAAGATAAATGACAACTTCAAGGTCAATAGGGAAAATAACCAGTCCTGTTTGGAGAGAGAACATATATCATAACCTTAAGAAAGAATATTTCTTAGGGGAAAATAATGTTAATATTTTACTCGTCTGACGATAACAATGACCAAAACTGTTGGTTAATTTTGCAATATTTTACAAATTTTGGCACTATCTGAAATCAACTGGCTGGTGTCATCATTAGATACTTATAAATATAACTGGTTTACTCTTATAAGGGATATATATTGAAGAATTAAAGAGAGGAGAGGAAACTAAGTACTATTTGGAATGAAGAGAAAAAGAGATATGGAGATAGAGTCAACTGAAATACGATCTGCTATTCAAGAACTTTCCATGTTGCAGCTGCTCAAAGTACAACCTGAAGAAGCTGAAGCTGAAGATGATCATCATAATATTACCACTATTCCTACCTTGCCTTTTCTCTCTATCTCCACTTTGGTCCTTCAAGTTCTTGGTTAGTATATATATATCCTCTTTCTTTTCTCCTTTTATCAATTTCTTTTTTTATAAAACAGTTCCTTCAGTTTCTGGTGCTGATTCTTGAGGAGTTTTTCTTCCAGAGGCTCTTAGCTTTGTTCGCAAAAAAAAAAAAAAAAAAAAAAAAAAAAAAAAGTATTTATATTTGGATAATTTTATGGTTATTATTGGCTTTGGCGTTTTAATATATTGTTATTTTGTCGTGAACTGATATGCAGATAAGATAGGGCCAACAATGGCAGTATTGAGACAAGACATATATCAGAACATCCAGGTATAAATTCTATGGAAACTTTTGTAAATGAGGAATTTTTAACATGATGATAATCTTAGTTTATTTTTATCTTTTTATCTTTAATTAAGCTCTGTCATTTTCATGTTGTATGTGTAGAACACACGATTTGGTTTTTGGTCCCCCACATACATTATTATTACTGATAGGTCCTCTAGCTTCGTCAAGCTCGTTGCTGCCAAAAGGTTTCATTTTGACTTCTAATTGATAATGAACGACCAAATAATAGAACATTGAACTATGATTTTTCAACTAGTATAATTTGGACTTTTCAAGCTCAGCTTACTTGACATTTTTTGCCAATACAAATATTGAAGAACTCATTTTGCTAAAGTTTAGACATATATATAATCCCATAATGTTTCTAGTTTTAATTAGGATTTAAATCTCGAGCTTCTCTCACTTTATTGATCTTTTCTTTCATTTTCTAATTAGGTCATTTCGCCCTTCTTGTTTGTTTCTTAGTGTGTACATTGGACAACATTCTTTTTTGGCAATGCCATACTAATATTCCATGTTGCCTAGGAATTTATTTTTATTTTCTTAAATGAAATAAAAACTGCTCTTCAGTATAACACCGAAAATGCCCTTTAGTTGATTTCTCTTTTACCTCATTTGTTCTATTTTCTCTCCATTTGTTTTTCTTTTTGTAACAAGATAACTAACTCTTGGGATATTAACATCCTGATATGTTATACATTAGATAAAAAGATAAGTTGTACGATTATTTAATTTACTTGATAAAGTACATGCCTTTTTGTTGTATACTCAATGCTCTTACTGTCTGTGCTAAATTAATTTAGTTTATTTGCTAAATTTGTTTAACGTGTAGAGATTGGAAAAGATCCATGATTCAGACCCTTCCCTCTACTCAAATATGGTTGAGATATTAAAGAAAGAGGTTAATGAAGGCAAAGAAAGAAAGGGTCCTAGCTGTACCAAAGCTGTTCTTTGGCTTACCAGGTAATTGTACTTTTTTTGCTCTTTAACTTACTTTCTAATTACATTCTATTTACCTGGTATTACTATTTAGTGGCCGAGGTTCGTATATATAATTAGAGCCCGTTTGGACATAAGATTTTTTTTAGTTTTTTTTTTAAATCAGTGTTTGGCCATAAAATTTTCAATTTTCACTTGAAGATGAATTTTGGAATTTTTCGAAAATTTAAAAAACTTCAAAAACAACCAAAAATTATATTCATGTCCAAACACAACTCTAATTTTCAAATACCATTTTCACTTGAAAAACTTTTTCACCTCTTTTTCTTTTTGGGAATTTTACAATTCTTATGTCCAAACGCCCACTTAATTACAATCAAAGTTGATTTTTTTTTTCCCCTCACAAACAAGAAAAAACATAGTGGTTAGCCTTTTACCCTTGACCCTAAAACTATAAATTACGATGGTGCAGATCGCATCCCTATCCAAAGGCGGATGGAGCCTTGTTTGAGTTCAATTGAACTTAATATTTTCTATGTGCAACATATATATATATATATATCAAGAAAGTAGGTTGTTAGACTAGTATTACAATTATAATTGAACTTAAATGCATGGTTTGCAGATCCTTGGATTTCTCATTAGCATTGTTACAACTACTGGTTGAAGATATAGAGAGGAATATGGAGCAAGCAGTTCAAGAATCTTACACTAACACTCTTAAGCCATGGCATGGATGGATCTCTTCAGCAGCTTTCAAAGTGATTTTCTTTTTTTCATCATTATTCTTTCAGCACTATTCATAGTTTTGTTCACTGAATAATCATATTTCAATTTATATATATGCTGAGACATTACTTCTGTGCCTATACAACGTACCTCATATCAAGGATGGATCCTTTGAAGTACATCTTTCAGAAGCCCATGCCCACTGGAAAGCTAGACAAGTGGAAAATCCTGTTGAGTGAGTTCGACATTGTCTATGTAACTCAAAAAGCGGTCAAGGGACAGGCACTGACAGACCACCTTGCCGAAAACCCTGTGGATGGTGAATACGAACCTCTAAAAATGTATTTTCCTGATGAAGAGGTATCATTCATAGGAGAAGACNTCAATTTTACCTTTCTTTTGTAGGGTGCATATGGTCTTGATACATTAAAATCTACTTGAAGATGAAGTGCCCAAGAAAGTGTACATAACTTATTAAGTTCTCTGACCATTATCCCTTCTCTTTTTTTTCTTTTTTTTTTTTTTTTTTTTTTTTTTTTTTTTTTTTTTTTTTTTTTTGCTTGTTATGTAATTATACACCCCAAGCTCTTGTATGTCAAGTTCAGTTATGTTTGCCACTTCCTTTTGGTACTTAATTGTTAGCACCACAAAGAATACGGAAATTGATATGTAATTCTTTCTTTAATTTGTGATTTTTTTTAGTTTAAATTGCTTAGTTTGATGTAAACACCAGGTACATGTAAGTATTGCACCCGGTGTTTGCACCAAACAAATCAATATAAGACATGTATCTTGCATCTAAATTTTTATTATTACTTAATACGTATTTTTTAGTTTAATTTATTATCAGCTCTATTTAATGGATTGAATGGAAAGGGGAAAAGATTTAGTTAGGTAAATATCTTTATTTTTAATTTAGTTAGGTAAATATCAGTTAAGAAAATGGTTCGATGTTTAAAAAAAATAAAGGGTGTACTAAGCTCCTGTTATGCGCGGGGTATGCGGAATGGCTGGATCACAAGAGTCTATTGTACATAGCCTTACCGTGGGATATTTAATAAAAATAAACTCTCATTATGGCGATTAAGGACATGTATGATGGGGCTAAGACTCGGGTTAGGACAGTAGGAGGCGACTTTGAGGATTTTCCGGTTGTTATGCGGTTACACCAAGGTTCTGCGCTCAGTCCGTTCTTATTCGCCCTGGTGATGGATGCGTTAACACACCACATTCAAGGGGATGCGCCATGGTGCATACTATTCGGCGATGACATAGTTCTGATTGATGAGTCGCGAGCCGGTGTTAACGAGAGGCTGGAGGTTTGGAGACAGGCTCTTGAATCTAAGGGTTTCAAGCTTAGCAGGACGAAGACAGAATACCAGGAGTGTAAGTTCAGCGCTGAGCAGGGGGAAGTGGGCGTGGATGTGAGACTTGAATCACAGGTCATCCCAAGTAGAGGCAGCTTCAAGTACCTTGGGTCGGTTATCCAGGGGGGTGGGGAGATCGACGAGGATGTCACACACCGTATTGGGGTAGGATGGATGAAGTGGAGGTTAGCATCTGGAGTATTGTGTGACAAGAGAGTGCCACTGATACTCAAAGGTAAGTTATACAAAGCGGTGGTTAGACCGGCCATGATGTATGGGGCTGAGTGTTGGCCTGTTAAGAACTCACATATCCAGAAGATGAAGGTAGCAGAAATGAGGATGTTGAGGTGGATGTGCGGGGCATATTAGGCTGGATAAGATTAGGAATGATAATATTAGGGAGAAGGTGCGCGTGGCTCCCATTAATGACAAGATGCGGGAAGCGGGGCTCGGATGGTTCGGGCATGTTCAGAGGAGAAGCCCAGATGCTCCGGTAAGGAGGTGCGAACGGCTGGCTGTGGAGGGCAAGAGAAGAGGTAGAGGGCGACCTAAGAAGTATTGGGGGAGGTGATTAGGCAGGATATAGCGAGGCTCCAAATTTCCGAGGACATGACACTTGATAGGAACATGTGGAGGGCGAGTATTAGGGTTGAGGGTTAGGAGATAGTTGAGTCTTGCCTTACGTCATTACTTTGTGAGACTAGTTTGGTAGGGATATTATTTCTTTTTTGCTTTGTATCTTTCTTTTGGCTTTCATGTTGTTCCTATTTTTCCTATGATTTCTATGGTGTTACTGATATTGTCTCCTTTTGTCTTTTTGTCTTGAGCCGAGGGTCTTTCGGAAACAGCCTCTCTACTCCCTCGGGGTAGGGGTAAGGTCTACGTACACACTACCCTCCCCAGACCCCACTAGTGGGATTTCACTGGGTCGTCGTCGTCGTTGTTGTTGTTGTTGTAAACTCTCATTCTTCCAACGAAAAACAGGGTGGAGAAACCAGAGAGTATAGGAAAATGATAACAATCTGGGATGATACCCTAAACTCTAAAAATGAAAAGAAAGCGAAGAAATCATGATCTGATGTCTTTGATAGAGATTATGGTAACTATTTGTGCTTATGAACTAATAAACAAGGTCAAGAAAATGGTAAGTAGTCACTGACTTGTACACAGTAATGATCTTTTCCCTTTTCACCTAATTACTCTAAGAAAATTCTTTTACATTTTCAAACATACCACTCTTGTCTATTCCTAAATTAACTCCATTTAAATCAGAAGATCCAGTGGGAGGATCATGCAGTGCAATCAGTGCTGCTACTAGACCAGCATTACTTGTTATACTTGGCTCTGTGAACCATGGTTGAGTTCTCTCGTCCGAAAATATGTCATCTTTATTTGGTCCTGCTACCATTGCTCCCAAAATGGTATTTGGATTTTCCCTTTTCGAATACAGCCATTGATTCCCTTCTGTACATGTACATCGTTTCCCATCCCAAGGGATCGATGCAGCTCGATGGTGAACATGAACCGGATAGGTATCACCATATCCCACCACATAACTCATCTTCATAGGGTTATCTCCTAGTATGTAATTCACCTGTCACAAATAGGTATTAATTACTTACTATATTAGGCCTTCTCATCAAGGAACTATCATAGGGAATAGTATGCTCTATGTAGAGTGCCAAAGAAATGTAGATTTGTTCCGTCCAAAATGGGAATGAGCTACAGTTATAAACTTATAATCTGATGATCGAGTCAATGCCAAGATTATAAGTTCATTGCAGACTTATATGCATAGTCATTATAAGAAGGGGTAACCTTAGAAAGATACACAATTTGGTAGTTTTCAAGAATCCTTAGAAAATTGTCACCTGTGATTCGGAGAATTCTAGTAAATTATCCGATGAAAAGACAGAATTAGAGCAGCTTCTATGCGTTGTATGCAAAAGCTGGAGATAGTCACTATACAATTTGCTGAGAAAGGAAGCTGTCACAGCATACTGGAGTAATGCTACACCGGTACTTGGCTTTATAAGGATTAGTCCACCTGAAATTTCAGTAATTTTATCTCAAGTTATTACCAGCAAAAAGAATGGATAGATAAACATATGTAATTGACATTAGTTACACCTTCAGTTTTGCTGTACTTTTGATCAGAAGTAAATGAACACATGAGCAAGTCAATCTTGTTCGTCGATGATATGAACGAAGACTCATATGGATAACCAAGATCCCGGAAATACCTAATCCTTGTTAGCAGAATCTATATAACAGTTTTAAGTCTTAGATGAAATGCATAAAATAAAAGCATTAATTCTCATCAAGATTTTGGGTCAATTACCGATATAGCAGTGATCTTGTTGTTCCAATCGAAAACACCTTCATCGGAAGATACCTGTTCCTTTACAGCTGAGGCAAAGTTCTCTGTTGAATACTTGAGGTAAGTTTTGTTTCCTGTTGCAAAAAAGAGCCAAATTCCACCCCAAACCAATTCATCTTTGTAACTTGATGAGTTATGAAATTGCCTAGCTTGTCCTCCACATTCATCATTCGTCGTGTATGTTCCTTGATTCTCTGTTCTACTTGCAAGAATGAACAACTCCTCTGCTGCTTTCGCCAATTTCTCTGAAATATCCTTATCATCTTTTAACACTATTGATGCAGCTGACATTGCCGCAACCATTTCTCCTGCTAAGTCTGAGGCAGCACCAATGTCACAAACCGAAACAAATCTTGGATAACTCATGTCCTCTGGCCTTTGCCAGCAAGTTAGGTCATTCTCATTGTTTGAATTATTCCCTCCAACCTGAGAAGAATATTGAATCTTTTATTGAAAATTTTACCTAAGTATTACAAACAACTAGTCTTGAATTTAGATTCTTGATTAGTACCTGAGAGTAGATTCTGGCTGAAGTAGTAGAAGAATTAGTTGGAGGTACAAAGAGTTTAAGCAAATATAGACTACCCCATTTGATAGTATCTTTAACATGATCAAGCTCTCCAATACCATCATATTTCTCATGATATTCAATCACTGTCCAGCTCAAGAGAGTAACAGTAAAAGCTGTAGTGAAACTAAACTTTATATTATTTCCTGCATCATAAAAACCACCAACAAGGTCTGGATGCGGATGCTTCTCACTGCTATTCCCATCATTCATCCCTGAGTTCCCTCGAAATCTTATCAAACTATTCTCCACAAAAGGCCCCGCTGCACGAAAGAATAAACACAAAAAGATGATCAAACCTCAAAAGATGAAACTAGAAAATGTGTTGAAGACATTATTAAACAAATAAATAGTGCTCTCTCTAACATTTTAAACTTTTAGATGAGGTGGTCACACAGTTCGACATGATATTAGACACCTATTATCTAAAAGAATTTCCACGTACTTGCCATAATTAAGTAAATAAAAGTGTATACTTAATGTGAAATGAAAATCATAAACAGTAAAAAATTGAGAGTAGTATACATTTCTGAGCATCAAAGAAGAGAAGAGCTTTGTTAAGAGCAAGAGTGAGATTGTGTGAAGAGACATGGTGATGATTTTTTGTAGGGTAAATATGCAGGAGAAGAATAAGAACAGGTATAATGAGGATTATGACGGCTGTTACAACAACAAAGCGTTTGAAATGGATTTTATTTTTAACAATCAGGTTAAAATCAACAGATTTTGAAAATCTTGAAGGTAATGACTCAAAATTTTCATTCAAAGAAGATTTTGGAAGGAAATTGAAGTCCACTTCTATGGAGTTCCAACGACTGGCAGAAGGGAGAAGACGACCGGCCTCTGAAATTGTATGAACATATTGGACAAAATTGAGCTTTTCTTCTATTATTGACATGGTTTATTTTTTTCTAAAGAGAATGTTGCATTTGAGAAAAAAGAAATTATCATGCTGTTTTTGTGTTTTGAAATCGACATTCCCTATGCATGATGTAACTGAAAATTAGTTGTAAATTACAACCTTAATTCTCTATTTCTATTTTTGCATATATTCTTATTCTCTTGCTGCTGGCTTTGGCATCTTAGTTAGTGTTTTTCTTTTCTTTTCTTTTCCCAATCTTAATTATGAGTACTAGTTTAATGGAATTTAGAAAGTCAAAGTACTAAAAGTTTTTCTAAATATTACTAACTTTTCTTTGGCAACTCCTCTTTTTCCTACATGGCAGGACTACTGTTGGATATGAAGATAAGAATCTTGATTTTAGATTAAAGATGCTTATTTAACCCCAAGGATTCTTGTGATTTAAATAGTTTCTTTGTGAAAATACATGATTCTAACTCAGTTAAAAACTCCATTTTCTTCCGCTTTACAATCCTAACATGTCCAAATTTGTCTAGCCGAGAAACAGGGAAAGAAAAGATTTCTCTGTGAATAAAGGAGAGGGATAGGAGCAGAAGCAACTTTTATGCCAAAATTATGCTTTTCCCTTTCTGTTTGCAGGTTTGATGTTTTATACTTCAATGCCACACAACAAGGGCTGATTTGTGTGGTGTTTAATTTTTGCGTGCACAGATTACATGATTCTTTTGCGTTCCTTATACTATTGTTGTGGAATAACAAATGCTGAAAATAAAAAAAAACAAATATTTTTACGTGAAAAACACCCGGCTCAAAAGGTAAAAAAATTACGACCTACTACCCAATAGGATTTTTCCAACACTTCACTAAATCATTTAGCCAAAACAGCATTTACAAAACTCTTTGTAAACCTAAGGATTACCTCTAACCCTTTGTGGCAACTAGCCTCAGACTGTTGCAACAATTTCAAGTTAACTCTAACTTGAACACTACACTTAGAGTACCTAGTACAAATGCTTCTAAAGAAAGCTGAAAGATACAACTCAAAAGCCCTACTACAATTGAACTAGAATAAAAGACAGACATTTGGAGCTGGTTCTTCTATCTGGTTCATGTAGCTTCCGATTCGCACACTTGAATCACACAGGAATCACTTGCAAAATGCCTTGCTATTTTGCTCTCAACTCTCGTTTAACTTCAGCGTTGTGTGTGCCTATAAAATGAGAACATACTGAAATATATAGAGTTAGTAGAATAGAAAATAACTAGAGTTCTAATGCTATACTCTTCCTTGGTGGAAAGTTCTAGTTATGTTCAACCTCTAACTCTTCCCTATGATAGAGTTCTCTTTGAGTAAGGAGTTATTTTACTTATCAATTATGCAACCTTTTCGTTCAGGAGATATCAGATATAACCACTTAAGCTTATCTCCTTCATGTGCATCCCTTGTGCTCAAATCTGTCTGTGTCTGTGTATACTGTGCATGGACCTGATTCATGCTTGAGTTCCTTTGTCAATCATCGGAACAAACTTACTTAGGCCAACAAGGATATATTGCAACAAAGTCTTTCTCGAAATACCTAAATTACCTTAATTGGTGGAAGTTGAAACATTCAGCTATGTCTTCTGTGAAATGAGACTCATCCAATTCTTTAATTCTCAAATATACCAAATTGACTTGCATTGCATTGCATTGAACCCTCAATTTAACACTTGGATTCTCTGTTTCATTTGGTGGTATATTGGAAAGGTGATCTCAGGGTTCAATTCTATCATTGACTTCAGTTTTTTTATATGAAGATAAACTATTCATTTGGGTCTGGTAGTCCCAAAACTTTCTACCCAAGGGGTGATTTTTGACTTAAAATTTGGGAGTGTTAGGAGTACAAGAAAGGCAAAAAGTTCACATTTTTATTGGAGTGTTGCTGAATCAAAAGGTTGGTTTGGTAAGTTCTTGTGTTTCCTAAGCTTCTATTTGGTACCCTAAGCACTGCATGTATAAGAAACTAAATATGGTCCAATTTACCGTCTCTATGTCTACAAAACAACAATGCCTCAACAGCGAGCTAGTTGGGGTATGCTATATGAATACGAAGAATATTGATACAGGTCTAAACAGAATGACATATGGTTACTGCGTATTCATACAGAAAGAATATTGGATTGATACGGGTCTAAATGGAGCAGCATGGTTAATGAGGAAGGAAAATTGGTAAGAAAAGAGAAGCTTTAACTAATGATATTTTATACTTTTTTCGAATGTACTGTTTACTCTAGAATTGTTAAGAGACCGAAATATTTGTGTAATTTAATTGTTGCAATCAGCTGAGATATCTCTTTCCTTCGAGTGATTGGTTTTTGCAGTGCTTGCTCTTTTCACTCCCTTTTTTCTTTCCATTTGTGGAGTTTCAGGCACTACAGATTGCTTAATGATTTGCATATAATATTGGTGACCTTTATCTCTTTCCTGTGGCATTCTTTTTCAATTGCACTGTTGAAATGTAGTATCATTTTTATGATATTATGCGAGTTCATTACTCAAATGATCACTCAACTATCCCAAATTATCTCCTAAGTCACTTTTCTTTCGTTTGTAACAACAAAGTCACTGAACTATGCCTATTGCACTCAGAAAGTCACTCAACTAGATTTTCCAAATTTTGAATTGCCAAATACCTATTTTACCCTCTAAATTATAAATATTTATCTTCTTTTTATTTATTTAAACTTTTTAATATTATGATTTTTCCTTTTTTAATTTATATTATGGACTTACATATAGAATAAATAAATGTCATTTATAAATTTAAAAAATAAAAAGTATTTAAGCATATATAATGCTGGAATAGAGGGTAAAATAGGTATTTGGCAAGTAAGCCTCATCGGTATTTTACAGAAAATCGGACAGAGTTTCCCCTGTTTTTGGACTATCCCAAAAATAAACCTGTCTTAGAAATCAACAACCAAACATCCTAATATCATACCAACAATTGACAACCAATCAATCAACCAAAATGAGTCTCCACCATTACTACTCAACCCACTAACAACCGGAAATACTAATTTATCTCCAACCTTGATAATAAAGAACGATACTCAACAAAAGACTAATAGCAAAATAATACTCATGAAACTAAAAGAATGACTATGGAGCGACTCTAAGAATTCAAAGAAAAGACTATAACAATTGATAAACATCTCCGCCCACGTGAACAAGTGCGAGGCTCACCAAGAATTCTCAACCTGTACACTCTAATTAACGAAATCCTCGCCTGCGTCAACTGTTGTCTCTGTAAAAAAAAAAATTAGCGGGGAATGAGTCGCTAGCTCAGTGAGTAATAACACTTAACCATAACCGTTTTTATTTGGGGACAAGTCAGAAACATGCTAGTATTTCAAAGAGAAAATAACATAAAAATGCCCTTTCAGAAATAATAAACAATTTTAGTCTCATCATGCTTTTCTTGTAGTATAATACATTTAACAATTCAGTAATAAGCTCGGTAACCACTGTATAATATCAATATTCATATTTGGGAGGTTTCAATGAACGGATCATGTAATCGGTATAACTGTGGACTTCTTTGCAAGAAGTCATATATAACGGTAGTCCCTACTCGAGGGAAATCGGTAACGGTATGCTAGTTCTACCTTCCCACTAGCGAGGGCTATAACTGTACTCTGTAATCGGTAAATACAAGGTGCACCAGGTCTAACGAACCCGCCGTTAGCTACGAGATCCTTCAATGTCTACTCCCATTTATACTTGTCTCTCTAATTCATATATACTCGTAGAAACTATTTTAAAACAATATAGGGCATTTCGGTTCTTATCAAATCATATAATTTCCTTTCGATAACAGTAAATTCAAGTAACGGTAAAACATATCTAGTAACAACGAAAATATTTAAAACCACGGTATGCATCTCAAATAACTATTTCGGTATCATATCGAGTAAAAGACTTGTCCCACATGCAACTCAAAATAATCGGTAACATATTCATATTAAAAATCATGTGTAAATCATGCAAGTTATGAAAACACAAATTGCGATAAGATTACTACTCACAGTACTCGTGCCGAAATATCAAATGCTTTACCTCGAGCAATTCGTACAAATTCCTCCAATCAATCTATAATTTACATGATATTGATATCATGAGCCAATTCCTTGGAGTCTGATCACTCATATATATATATTTTAAAATTACTTAATGTAAGAGTACGTGAATTAAAATGGAGATAACCTATTTCTATTTTTGTCCTTATTTTTATGATACTACCACCTCTAAGGCACAAGGTTTGATTTTCTTATTTGAAAAAAAATATCCTTTGGTGCAAAAATTTGATAATTTCTTCTCTGGAATTCATGAAGACAAGAACTCTGCTACAAGTACCTTGGCTATAGAAATTCCATAAGTCATTCATTCTATTCCCTTTTCTTATGTCTACTTATAATTAACTAACCAACCAATAAAGGATAGATTATAAATTGAGTAATAAGGAAGAGAATCTGAAACAAATTATCTAAGGTAAGTAGAATATCAAAATACCTTGTTCTTCTTCACGGAAGGAAAATCAATGGTGGACGACGAATTACTTGAACCAAGAAATTCCCAAAGTTGGCCTCAAACTATGGAAATCAGATCCTATGCGCCAATATCTTCTCTTGGTTAACAAATTTTTTTTTTCACGTTCTACTGCTTAGTGCGAAGCACTCCTCTCCGAATTTGTTTTTGACTCCTTATGTTTGCAGAACTCTTACCTCTGTTAGGTTTATTCTCATGGGCTGATTCGGCCCTCTCGTTTTAGTTATTCTAATTTGTTTTTTTTTTTGGTTTGTTAAATGACCAGTATGTCCTTGTTTGAAATTTATGGGGTATTACAATACTAAAAAATTAATTAGAATTATTTGTTCGTAATAATAATTTTAGTATTAACAACAAAAATTCAAAAATGTATTTACACAATTCAGAATGAAAGAAAATAAAGGTTGTAAAATATATATTTCATGCACGTAAAAATAATTATTTAAATAAATATATTTTTATAATATACATTATATATTCTTGAAAATTATGCTCAATTATATTAATATATTTCTACCAACTTTCCAACGATACAAAGTTATGTCACCGGAAAGCAGGGGGACTATCTGTATACGGTAAAATATGCTATGTTAAGTCGTGCATGGAATCAAAAGGTTGGTTTACTGTAAAGAGGCAGGGAACTCACTGAAGAATATGCAGGATACAATTTTGAGAATCTTCTCTTCAGTGTTTGTAGGTTCAGGGAGCTTATTGGCACATATCCGCGCAATATACTGTAAAGCTTCTATGTTTTACCCACATCTCTAGTATACTTGATGCCTTTGCCTATAAATGCTCCATAAGTCTCAGAAACATTAATGATTGCCTTTCCTTGTGCTTATTCGACATTTCAAGAGAATGGTGCACTAGTGTGAAGAGGTGGATCTAGAATCGCGTGTTTTACTTTAGTCTCTTACCATGAACTCACTACATTTTAAAAATTATATATCAATGCCAGTTTTAAAATTTTTGGTAATTTTCACGTATATATCAATGCCCTGTGCCAAAAATAAGTCCGTCTGAAGTGGGATTTGAACCACCATTTTTACTCGTAGAGGTGCACCCAATAATAATTGCACCATATGAGTCTTTGAGCATGGGTGCACTCACATATATTTAAGTAATTTTGAAAAAATATAACATAATTATACATCGTTTAGGGAGAGGAGTATGGGTTCGCGTGAACCCATACCCTTAGGCCTAGATTCGCCCCTGGACATAACATAGCAGGTAAGAGTCAAGGTAACACACCTCTATTAGCTATTGCTTTCTCTTCATCAAAGTCAACATACAACATCATTTCGAACAATCCCGGTACTATTACTACTGTGCTTCCATATGTAACTAAAACTGAAACAGGCAAGGATCAATCTTTGTGGTCACGCATTTTAGCCGTGGAATCTGATGTTCGCGTCAGCGTAGGCTATCTACATTACCCCTCCCCTTTGGGGTGGGGCCTTTCTTCCCTTTAGGTAGGAGATATCGAAAAAGACTAGATGTTTTATTTAGCTTATAAAGAGAAACTGAACTATCAAAAGTTGATGCTCGGATTGTGCTGTATAATAATCAAAACAAGCTTTTCTAGAGTGTAGGTTCTGGTAATATGTAGCAAGAAATCTTATCTTGGGAATCTGAAACACTAATCTCCTGTATCTTCTCCTGGCCTTTCAGAATCTTATATTAATCATCACGTAATGTAAAATGCTTTGGTGTACACTTCACATTGTTGCTTCCATATTTGTTAATGTATTTTCTATATATCTTTGGGCTATATGCTACTATAATTGTAGCTTTGTACCATATAACTAGTTATATTTCCCTTTTACTACCTATTGTATTGCTAGTGTTGTATCTCTTGAATGCCTCAAATTAAAGTTGTTTCTCCATTGTCTGCTTGCTATATTCCTAGTTGTTGATTTGTGATTGTGTGAATGTTAAATTTCTGTGAGTAGAGAATGACCCTTTCGTTTGTCCGGACGCTTCAAAATGATGTTTCCAAAAAATAAGCAGCAGTTGCTGGTTTTGCATCTTATTTCATCAAAGGACATTTTGAAGCAGCCAATGCCAATTCACCATTGCTTTCTCCTTTCACAAGGCCTCCAAGCAATTCTCCTCTATCAAAGAACATCTCTGCCTTAACAATCTTGTTACTCTCTTTCTCCAACTGTTTCAACAATCATTTAATTAATTAAAACAGAATTAAGAAAGAAATAATTGAAAAGGAAGATGATTTCTGGTAAGTACTTCAAAAATGCCAATCCCAAAGAGCTCTACAAGTCCTCCAGTAGCAGCATGTCCTTTAAATGGACCTTCCATGTAACCCCAATGCCTAAACTTGTACACTATTTCTGGTGGTCCTGAATAAACATGAAGGATTTCAATCGCGAATCCTCGTAAAAATATGGATCTGAAAACTTTCTGTGATGATTCAAATGTTTCCTCATCAGGATTGTAGAGTCGAAGATTCTGTGGCAATGATGTTTGGAGGAATATGTTATAGCTACCACCGAGCTTTGCAGATTCTACCGGTGTCAACCCTTTCCTGCCTATTAAATTCTTTATACTGTCAGTCAGTGTATAAATTCATAAGGAACAAGGAGAAGAAAATCACACCTACCCCTTCTCCTCACAGACAATATAGTGCTCAATAAAGTGTTACAATTAGGTACTACTTACTATTTTAACAATAAGAGAAACAAGTATACCATTGACACAAATGTTGAACTTAGTTGGATCAACAGTTTTGAAGTCATTAGGATCTGCCTTGTGGACTATTTCCATTTCCCAAGTCTTCAACAGCCTCTGCACTTTCTCTTCAACTGATCCTTCAGGCCATACCTAAGTAGTAAAGAGGTAAATCCACTTTCTATTATACTCCATCCGGCCGTGACTAATTTACCTTGGGCACACCCACTTAAGGAAATACTAAATTCTAGACAAAAATAGTCCCTTAATTAAATATTGCAGCATAATTTAATGTGAGAAGTAAAAGACTTTTTAGGGATACGTACATAAGATTAATTTTGGTGAAAAACCAATTAATTTTTTTATTGATTTTATAAATGGACACTTATTTTAGACCAAAATAAAAAGGTAAATTGATCACTTATTGTGGACACGAGGGATGAGTAATCATCTTAAATCTCGAGACATGCATTCTTAGAATCAATCAAAAGAGTTTCGAAGATGTATTGAAAAAAGAGAAGATACATGAGTTCTTTCTTGTTCAAAGAGCTTATCGACAACATCATAGGTAGGAGGGCCATTTCTCCATTTGGTGTTCTTAACCTCTTCTTCACTCAAGTAGTCTCTGTATTTGTCTCCCCCTCCTACTAAACTAATTGCCATTTTGTTTTGATACTAACTAGGAAGCCTTGAGAGGGGTTTTTATATGATCACAAAGCTAACCTACGACAAATCTTGGCTTCAAATTAGTCAACTAGAAAAACATATTTTATTATGGAAGTATCGTGGAAATAACATGTGGAGTTCAATATAGGATATTTTATGGATTTAATACCTCCAAGTAAAATATTCTCCACCAGTACTAGATTGACTTTTCCATCATTTACTTTTACATACCTAAGTTTTAGTAGTTGTCTTCTTACAATGAAACTTCACAACATTATGTTCTTCCGGCGGTAAGTGGCAGAGCCAGGATTTTCATTAAGGGGAGTCAAAATATAAATAAATAAACTCACCAAGAAGTCAAGGGGTGTCACTACATAGTATAGATACATATTTTTTTAAAATTACCGAGTTATACAGTATAATTTTCCGGCGAAGGGGATGCATGTGGCTCCGCCACTGCCGGCGGTCCCATACTATTGTTGTTCGCCCATTTAAGATCCTTTTTTGGAAGGCAAAAAAAAAAAAAGAAGAGGAAAACTAGCTGGATAATTGTGGTATGAGATATGGTAACACTATGATTCAATTATGATCTTATAACCACTAAAACTGCACGATATCATGCTTTACTGAAACAAAGACGCTCCACATTAGTGAAAATCTCCCGCTGAACACATTATAAGAATTAAATAACAGTGAAATCAAAGTGCCACTATTATAAATGGCAAACATTAGTTAGACGGGCTTAATGTCGATTTCTTTTTACTAGCATCCCGTATTTACTTTTGAGTAGACAATTTAAATTAAAGCGAGAATACAAATCATTTAACTGTGGTTAAAGAATCAAAATCTGCAAGGTACATGTTTCGTTTTCAAGTGAATAGTTCAATCATCCATGTCATAGATAAGCAAGTCAGGCAAGCTCCAATAAGTGAACAGATAGCCATTTTTAGAGATGCTATTTGGAGATTAGCCAGTTCTTTATTTTGTCCTGAAATTTTAAACTAAAAATCTCTAGACAATTCAGGATATTTTTTTCCCGAAAAATTAAAGTGAAATTCAGTACACACCGAGCTACCTGGTATTATTTCTACTTTATTTTTCACTTCTTAGGTTGGAGGCCGACAAGTCCCCTCCGTAATTGCATCCGGATGTTAAAATAAAGAAATTAGATGAAGATGACCAGTTTGAATAAAGGAAGGTTCATCGCACCTATTTGTGAATTTCCCATAATCCAAAAAATGATAAAAAGGGGTAGGTGATTAACTAGGAGTATCTAGCCCTGCGATATGTCTGCATGTATCATTTTTCATTTCATTTAAAGATTATTTTCAACTTCACACAATTGACTCGATCCAAAACCAACTAGCTATTATGATACTTAATCCAACCTGTTAGGTAAGCCAATTAACGATTAATCAATTCAAATGAGATTCATTAAGAGAAGTAATGATAATACAACTGAACTTATATACAAAGAATTCCCAAGGACTAGTAATATAAATCATGAGTTTCTAAGATTTAGAGTCTACAAAGCTGGTATGAAATAAATACATCATCTGTTTGAAATATGCATGAACAGATTAATAATTCTAAAGCTACCAAGAACAAGAGGCAGCTATGACCGGAATGCAGGTACGTCTGCAATGCTAGCTCCCTCCATACACAGGAACGTCAGCATCCAAAATCTGCATGCAAGGTGCAGAAGAGTAGTATGAGTACAACCGATCCCATGTACTCAATAAGTAACAAACCTAACCTTAGGTTGAAAGTAGTGACGAGCTTGGACAAAGGTCAGAGTCCAACACCAACAGCCATGTACAACTCATAACAATGTAACTAAAGCAGTACAAGTAATAACTCAAAGATATAATGCTCAGCTCGTTCACGGTTCCGGAAAATAGGCATGTTTTCCAAGTATAACAGTAAAACCCAAATCTTTTACCGAAATCACCAAAATATGAGTAAATCTGAAAAAGTGTGATTTTTCTCAAAAACTTTCAACAACTGGTAAGATGTTTCATTATCAGATGGCATGAGGAAAGTACATCTCTATGCCTACATGTCAATATATATGTGAAGTCATGAATGTCACAATGCCGTACAGCACGAGGAAAGGCATCTCAATGCCTACATGCCCAGTATGCATACCAACTGTAATGCAACACAGTGATAAAACCATATGCATACTCTCGGAGTATCAATTCGCTCAGTCCTCCCAGTCACTCAGTCCACACAGTCACTCAGTCCGCCCAATCACTCGGCACTCATTCTCGGTACTCACAGTCGGCACTCGCGCTCACACTCAATAGGTACCTGCGTTCAATGCTGGTAAGTCAGGCTCCGGAGGGACGGATGCTGCCCAAGCACTAATATAAGCCAATCATGGTCATGAATCAATAAAGCTTGCTGCGGCGTGCAACCCGATCTCATAAACATCCTCACAATCAAGCCCTCAGCCTCACTCAGACATCAATCTCTCCAGTCTCTCGTCCTCCAAAATCTCATGCCAATCGACCGAAATAATGATAATATGATGTGAGAAAAATGATAACAAAGACTGAGATACGATATGCAATGAATGAGTATGACTGAGTATGTAATTACAACTTAAGCAAATAACTCAACAGCAGAAATGATCTCAGTGGGTCCCAACAGGATAAACATATAGCCTAAATATGGTTTTTAACATGAATCACAACTCAATTACTCTAGCACGTAGAAATTTCTTGGATAAAGACAAGATTAGGCAACTACACAGTACCACATAATCAACCGAGTCATAATTCATATGGTGCACGCCCACACGCCAGTCACCTAGCATGTGCGTCACCTCAACACCATACACATAACACGCATACTCGGGGTTCATACCCTCAACACCAAGTTTAGAAGTGTTACTTGCCTCGAACAAGCCAAATCCAATTTGCATCACGGTATCCCTCAATCACCGCATGATTATTACTGTAATGCAATGAAAAGTCTTGGGTATGTTTTAAATATCCCAAATTTGTTTCATCTCCATCTAGTGAGATTGACCTGGATTACTTGTGTATCGACTCAATTTACTTATAGCACAAGCTATATCTGATCAAGTACAATTCATGATATGCATTAAACATCACAAAACACGAGCATAATCCAATTGTAATATACTTTGTCCTTTGTTCTTTGCAAGTGCAAGATTCACGCCAATTGGAGTCTTTGCAACTTTAAAATCTAAGTGCTTGAATTTTTCAAGTAATGTTTTAATGTAATGAGATTGTGACAATGCCATACCTTGAGGAGTTTTATGCATCTTAATACCTAGAATTAAATTTGCAACTCCCAAGTCTTTCATATCAAACTTGCTAGATAGCATACGCTTAGTCGCATTTATGTTGGCAATGTCATTACTCATTATCAGCATATCATCCAACAATGACTATGTGATTTGTAACATTTTTAATACACACACATTTATCACATTCATTTCTCTTAAAACCATTTGACAATATTGTTTGATCAAATTTCGCATGCCCCATTCTTTGGGTGCTTATTTTAGTTCGTAAAGCTACTTAACAAGTATACATACCTTCTTTTCTTTACTTGGAACCACAAACCCTTCAGGTTGTTCCATGTAAATTTCTTCCTCCAAATCTCCATTTAAGAATGATGCTTTAACATCCATTTGATGAATTTCAAGACTATATACCGCAGCTAATGCTACTAACGTTCGTATGGATGTAATTCTTGTAACTGGAGAGTATGTATCAAAATAGTCAAGATCTTGTCGTTGTCTATACCCTTTGACCACAAGTCTTTTCTTATATTTGTCAATTGTACCATCATCTTTCATTTTCCTCTTAAAATCAATTTAGAACCTAACGGTTTATTTTCTGGAGGAAGATTAACCAATTTCTCATGTATGGTTGTTCACTATGGATTCTATTCTACTATTGACTGTCTCTTTCCACAATAGTGATTTGGAAGAAGACATAGCTTCTTTAAATGTTCGAGGTTCATTTTCCATAAAAATGTCAAAAAATCTTGTCCAAATGAAGTACACGTTCTTCGACGTTTACTACGTCTTGGATCTTCCTAATTATACGTTTTTGTTTCTTCCCGAGGTCGGTTAGACCTTTACCAATCGACTAATGTTTTTTTATACGGATATATATTTTCGAAAAATTCAGCATTATTTGATTCTATAACCGTATTATTATGAATGTCGGGATTTTATGATTTATGAACCAGAAATCGATATGCTTTATATTCTATGAAAACACAATCAACAGTTTTCGGTCCTATCTTTGCCCTTTTGGGTTTAGAAAATTGCACTTTTGCCAAACACCTCCACACTTTAAAATAATTTAAGTTGGGTTTTCTTCCTTTCCATTTTTCATATGGAATAGATTGAGTTTTGCTATGGCGTACTCGGTTTAGTATCCGATTAGAAGTAAGAATGGCTTCCCCGCACAAGTTCTGTGGCAAACCAGAATTTATCAACAAAGCGTTCATCATCTCCTTTAATAATCGATTCTTTATTTCAGTATTGGATTGGGGCGTGCAAGGGGTCGTTGTTTGATGAATAATTCCATATTCTAAACATATTTCTTCAAAAGGAGATTTATATTCACCACCCTTATCATTTCTTATCATTTTTATTTTCTTGTTAAGTTGTGTTTAAACTTCATTTGTATTGCTTGAATGCATCTATAGCTTCATCTTTACTATTAAGTAAGTAAACATAGCAATATCAAGTACTGTCGTCAATAAAAGTTATGAAATACTTCTTTCCACCGTGAGATGGTATTGACTTCATGTCGTAAATATTTGTGTGAATTAAGTCTAAAGGATTTGAATTTCTCTCAACTGACTTATAAGGATGTTTAACATACATAGATTCTACACATATTTGACATTTGATTTGTCGCATTCAAACTTAGGCAATATTTTCTAAATTAATTATTTTTCACAAGGTTTTATAATTGACATGTGCCAAATGTATATGCCATAAATCATTTGACTCAAGTAAGTATGAAGAAGCTGAAATTTTATTATTGTCAACAACCATTACATTTA